AACCATGAAGATATAAGCTTTTAAATAATAAAATAATGTCCACCCAAATAATTTATCACTATTATACACCACCTTATGCATGTTTCACACCACATGCATACATGTATAAATCATATATGTCATGACACCTTTTCACATATATGCATATTTCATGTAATCCACATAATAAGCACGTATAAATTACCTCAACCCAAGTTATGTGAAACCCGGTTATAACACTCAATCCGTTCCACTTTCCAAGGAACATAAAGGCTAAGAACACTGAACAAGAATTCAGAGTTTGAATCCTAGAATCTAGGAGATTCTGTTTAGCATAGTCATATAGGAGACATCCTTTTCAGGTTACAAGTTACCTGAAAGTGCCAAATTAGACTAGGCTCCAGAATAGAGAGTTTTTATGAGAATACTATTAGATTGAGAGTTTCTGTTTCATACTCGAAAATCTAATAAAGCTTCTGACTTATTTAAGTTTGTTTTTCATTCTCATTATCATCTTGAATAATTTGTTAAACCATTTCCAGTTGCACAGTCACGATTTCATTCATAGTCTGATTTTACTGTGTCTTGTTACTTAAGAGGAATCTGGGTTCAAACAATTGGTATCAGAGCCTGCTAATCAAAACCCTTGATTAATCGATTTACATCCAATAAGGATATTCCTCTTTAGTTGGTTATTCGTTTTTTAAAAACGTGTTCCCTTCCGATCTCAGATCAGTTTCTTTTAAAAACATTTGCTTTATGTATTCTCTAAAACTGCCAGTTTTAGAAATTCAAAATTTTCATCTTTCTGTCAAATAGTCTTACAAAACTTCTTTTAAAATGTCTAATCAATCGTGGAACTCTATGTATAGTGCTGGTTTCGTCACAAAACCTTCTACTCTCATTAGGGAAGAATATCCCCAATGGAAGATCAAAATGATAAACTTCTACAAAGGTCTAGACCTTGAACTATACGATTCAATTCTCAATGGTCCTTATCTACCCACAACCCTATTTCCTAGGGTTCCAGCTGCTGGTGACACTGTTGAAATTCCTGCAAGACGCATTCCAAAGCTCCGAAGAGATTGGGATGATGAAGACAAGAGATGGGTGGAAGTCGACCAAAAAGCCAAAGGGCTTTTAATTATGGCTCTTCCAAATGAGATCTTTCAATCTCTTGATGCCTGTGAATCGACCAAGGATTTGTGGGATCAATTGGCGAATCAGCTTGAAGGGGGAATTAAAATGAAGAAAAACAGACGTGCTAAGTATCTCAACGAGTACAATAGCTTTCAAGCTCTCCCCCCCCCGATGAGTCTCTCGAGCAAACTTATCATCGTTTCAACACTCTAATCAACAAGTGCAAAAAGTGCGACGTGATTAGAACTCAAGAAGAGAATAATATGCTCTTCTTGAAAAGGTTGAATAGCGAATGAGGAAACATATCAATGTCCCTACAGGCAAATCAGGATCTGGAACAGTGGACGCTTCAAGATGTCTACGGCACCTTGCAGGCACAA